ACAGCCCCAGGCAGGGCCCTTCCCCAGGCCACACGCCGACAGCGCCAGGCAGGGACCTTCCCCAGGCCACCGCCGACAGCGCCAGGCAGGGACCTTCCCCAGGCCACCGCCAACAGCGCCAGGCAGGGACCTTCCCCAGGCCACTGCCGACAGCGCCAGGCAGGGACCTTCCCCAGGCCACCGCCGACAGCAAGGCATCCACAGAAACCCACGGACAAACTGGCCGAGATCAGAGGGAACCAAACAAACACCTCCAAAAACGAAAACCAGGGGAAGCAAACTCTGCCCTCAGGTCCTCCCCACTCCCATCCTCAAGAACAGAACATACACTCTGTATCTGCTGCGTGGTGTCCACAAGATGATTTTTGTGTAATCTATTGTTAAAATTATTAGTGTATGGGATTTCAGCTGATCCTAGTTCCTCCTCAAGAGCGGTATCTACGTCTACACACTGCATTACTAACACCTTAACTGGAAAGGCTGTAGGAGAGGAGCCTCAAAATACCCAAGGGAGGTTCTTTTTCTTTCCTCCTTTTGCTTTGCTTGTAGCTGGATAATTTAAAAATAAAAACCAAAACAACAACAAAACAAAAAATAAGTAATCAAAGACCTGGTTTCCTTCCCAGGAACGCTCATTCTGCAGGATAAAGGAAGACTCATAACCTGTCAGCATTTCAAAACCAGCTGATCCAGCTGAGGAGCACAGCAACATCTGAGTTTGTGGCTCTGCAGCAATGATTCTTCTCAAGTACAGCAAGAATTTGGTATTAACCAAATCCCTCAACATGGGAGGGGGAAAAGAACAACAACAACAACAAAAGTCATTTGCAATGCAAACTGGCTGAGGGGGAATCATCAGAACACCTGGACAGGTAAGGGACACCTCCAGAGACTCGGGCACACCATCGTTCCCAACCTCAGGCCGCAGCAGCACCGCTTCAAGGCGTCTCTCTCTGTACTCTGAGGTGCCCAGGCTGCCAGCAGAACTCTCCAGTGTTTAACCATTTCAACACTTCTCTCCCCTTTTGGAGATCAACAGAAGTGACACAAAAGACCTTACAGAAAAAAAACCCAAACAAAAACAAAAAACCAAACAACTTCCGTGCATGGAAAGGGTGGAGTCTTCAAACAAACTGGGAACGGAAGGAAGACCATGCACAGCAGGGCGAGGTGTCCACGGGGGAGACGGTCACAACGGCTGCGTAAGGGTATTTGCTGTGTGTCTGAAAAAAAGCCCCGCGGAGCTTGCGCTGTATTTACACGTTGATTGGCTTCTTCCTTGCAAGCAAGTAGCAGCATCCCTTCCCCACCTCGGTCCTTCCCTCCCCCCAGCCCTTACCCTGGGCTTAAGCTACTCATAGTCAGGACAAGAACATTCAGTCTAAGAAAAATTTCTTAGAGTAATATAATTTCTTAAAGAAGATAGCGTATTTACACACATCTAACACATGAAAATACTCTATTTTATACTAAATTTCTGTTTCAAATAAACTACAATACTGCATCTGAGCTTTCTGCAGCTTTAGAGGACAGTCCTCATCGGGCTCAACCTGGGCTTCCCAATCCCGTTTCAACCGGCAGCTTCTGCCTTCCAGTGGTGCGCTACCATGGCCTTCAAGTCCTGACAGGTCTCCAGTCGTGGTTTGCTTGCTTGGGAAAGGAAGAATGAAGTTCTCAGCAAAGCCGTGCTAAACATCCACTCCTTTAACGAGAGACCCTTCTAGGACAACGTTGAAATCTTGCAAGGTCTGTAGGACCCGGATCAGGGAGTTGACAGTCATGCGGTCCCGCAGGAGAGCGTTCTCCTCGTACATCCTCGTGATGGGCGGGCACTCTGCCAGCAGCGGGATCCACTGAGGGAGCAAGTGGTCCCTGCAAAAGGGATCACAAGAATTATTTTAGCTCCAAGTACAACAGATCTCAAACCGAAATTCTTCTCCAAGAACACAACCCACAACACGCAGCCTCTTTTTGCGGGTGATGCATGCTGTTGGCACGTTAAAGTTTCCCGTGTCATCATAACCCTTGATTTTTTTTTTTAATAAAATATGGGTAACTGCACACACTGCAGGAATGAAGATGGAAATACATCAGCAGAATTGTACAACTGACTTTGGAAGAATTCAGCAACATTTTCAGATCAGGAACATGGAAAGTAAAACTAGGGGAAAAACCAATGGTCTGATTTCCAACTGGTTTTCCACGTATCCAGACAGACAAGACAAAAATGGTGCTTAACTCTACAGACTTACTAACTGCCACCCTCCAAAATACACCTCAGCGCCCTCTCCCCCTGCCCCTCCCCAAGTGCGAGGCAGAAGGCATCCTATTAGGGAAAAAAAAGAGAATAATCCAGAATAGTTTTGTCAAATTTATAACAGGCATCCCCTTGTCACGGGCAAAGTGATTCAACGAGGATTTTGAAACGCACCAGCTCTTGCAAAGGAACTCGACATCCCCCAAGCCAGCAATTCATCAAAAACACAATTTCAAGACAGATTTCAAGGCCAGGTTGGATGAGGCTTTGAGCAAGCTGGTCTAGTGGAAGGTGTCCCTGCTGCTGGCAGGGGGGTTGGAACTGGATGAGCTTTAAGGTCCCTTCCAACCCAAACCAGTGTGTGATTCTATGACTGTCAAGCTAACAGTTATAAAAGAGCTCAAAACAATTCCAGCAGTTTATAGACACCAGCCCTGTATCATCTCCGCTGCTTTGCTCCAATTTTTCACCTAGCATCAAAGCTGCCTAAAATGGACGCTGGGTCATAGACAGGTGTGAGATGTCTTAAAATGGGAAAGTAAAGGAAATAACAATGGTGGAAAATCATTCCCAGAACAAAGAGCAGTTCGGTACCTCGTCCCCAGGCAAACCAGGATCTGGAATTTGCCGTCCTTTCCGATGTTCCTGGGAGCTGTATTGATGGCATTCACATAATGGCAGAAGGTTTTGCATGATGACCTCTGAAGCAAAAGGGCCTCCTCGTTGTCTCCAATCTGGTCACTGGTTTCAAAATAAGCAACAGCTTTCTCTGCGGTGGGGAGAAAAGCAGAACCCAGTGAGCAGAAGCACTTCATGGTGACGCAGAATTACACAATCGTTATAAAAACCCAACCTGCCCAGAGCTACTGCACAGTTTGTATCTGGATTCCTCACTCTGGAGACCAGAGATGGTAGGTGGTGATCTCCACCTTGACAGTGGTCAGAGACCGGCTGATGTCTAACCCAGGTAGGGAACATCAAGGAGCCACACCAGTACCTGTCACTGGTTTTACTGTGATGCCATCCATCAGCTTGGGTTTTTCACCTTTTCTGAGCAAGCCCTTACCCTCAGGCCGAGTATCTCAACTTGTGAGTGTTTTAAGGGAATAAATATGTCTTCAATTACTGCAACACTGGCCTACAGACAAGCATCACCAGAAGACCAGAGCAGTGATTAGCAGAGTTCTCGTCAACAACCAGAAATCTCAACCTTTCACTTCCTGCCCTTTCCCAACTCACCCCCTAACATCAATTGCCGCTCTACCCCAACCTCCAACCTACCTTCTTTCTGGGTAGAAAAGCAGCTGTTTGAATATTCATCTGTGAATAAATGACTAGAATTTGAAGTGCTCTTAGAGTTCTGCACAGATTCACACTCAACCCTTATAGAGAGTTTAATATTTTTCATCATCCATCTTGTTTCTCATTGACTTTGAGGAACCTGGAGCAGGTGCTAAGCAGGAACAAATGGCACCTTTGCTGATGAGAATCCAAGGAGAGAAGATTCTGCTGTGCGAGTAGAATCATTGAATCCCAGAATGTTGTGAGCTGGGAGGGACCCACAAGGACCATTGAGTCCAACTCCTGTCCCTGCACAGGACAAGCCCAACATTCACACCATGTCCCTGAGGGCACATGTTGTGAGGAAGTTCTAGACCCCCATGAGATCTCCTCTCAGTCTCCTCTTCTCCAGGCTGAACAAACCAAGTGACTTCAGCCTCTCCTCACACCCTTCCCCTCTAAACCCTTCCCCAATGTTGTGTCCCTCCTCTGGACACTCTCCAGCAGCTTTAGATCCTTTTTCTCCTGTGGTGCCCAAACTTCCCCTAGTACTGGAGGTGAGGCCCCCCAGTGCAGAGCAGAGCGGGACCATCCCCTCCCTCAAGCAGTCATTGTGCCCTAATCTTCCTTGTCCTTCTGCCTCCACACCACATCCCAGCTTACCTATGAAATCCCAGATGAAGACATTCTTATGGAAAATGCGAGCCGATTTGAATCCATGGTGGAAGACCTGCTCCAGCGCTGCGACCAGGCCGCTTTCTCCACACAACAGAATGGTAAGGCTCCCTCTCTGTGGGCAAGGGAGAGTCTGTAAGTACAACTTGCCCCGTTTGTATGCCAGAAGCTTCAACTCTGAAGGTGACCACTCTCTACTGGAACTTCAGTTCCATTTCTGTTCATAAAAATGTTAACATGCTGTCCTGGTTTTGTTGGGAGAGAATCACAGAATTAATTCTTGGTCAGAAAAGCTGCATTTTAAGAAGACTGCAGCACCCAATTTAGAGAGAACAAAGCTGATAAGACGTTTTGTTTTGGTTTGTGGCCAGCCATGGTATGAGGGTTTCCATAGTGATCAAGGTCTTCAGCAGTTTGGAGTTAGGCAGGTGTTAAGAGCAGGAGAAGCGAAAGCTGGGGCAGCTGACCCAAGCTGGCCAACAGCAACATTCCATACCAGAAATTATAAATATAAATCGCAAAGTTTGCTGGGGACAACCCTCCCCCTCAATGGCCATAATGGTTGGAGGGTCTCACCCATCATTCTGCTCCCAAGATCTACCCTCCCGCTTGTTGTGACTGTCGTGCCTTCATTGGCTGAGTATGACTTTGTGTATTTTATATTAGTTATTATTATTATTTCATTAGATCTGTTTTTATTTCAACCCTTTCCTTTTCCCAATTCCCCTGCCCCAGGAGTTGGGAGGGGGTCACTGGGTGATAGAACAACTGACTAAACCAAGACACCCGCATCGTAGATACCAAGGATGAGAAGCAGGAATTACCTCTTTCTCTGGCTTGTGAAAGTGTTTCACAATATTGTTGACGGCTTCCCCGATTCCCTCTTGGATCTGTCCTGCATTAGGCTCTGTGAAATGACAGAGAACAGACTAGCTGAAGATATCAACTTTAAATCTTTCATCAAATTCTCCTAGTTTGAACTGCAGGAGTTATTCTGTAGCTTTAAAAGAGCTCAGGCAATCATTTGTCTTGGGTAAACCTGAGTCTTAATTACAAGCAACTGATGAGCAGCCCTGGGATAGTCAAATAAATTGTCCTACTTAAAAATGCACAGCTTGATAAGTATTTTATTGGAGTTAATCACACCTTGCTCATCACATCAAGTACAGCAACCCTCACACGAAGAGAGGTGGCCTGAAAGGTTGTAGACCAGCCATCTGACTCACTTCTACATGACAGAGACCAGAAAACCCAGCACTCATTAATTCCTGGCCTGAACCCACCATCAAAGAATTACTGGTTGGAAAAGACCTTTAAGGTTATGGAGTCCAACCATAAACCCAACACTGCCAATCCCACCTCTCAACGGAGGCCATTTCCTCTTGTTCTCATGTTTTATTGAGCCACAGCAAGTGGCTGTTTTAGGCTCAGGTCTAGTGATTGTACCAGTGTGAGGGGCCACAGGCAGAAAATGGTTCCAGGAGTGAGTTAAGGCGTACGCCGCGTTTCTGCTCTGAGCCTGTTCAGCTGTATGCCTCTGCCTCTCAATCCTGCCACGCCTCCACCTGCTACCATCCCATCTTCCAATGCTGGACCTTGCAGCAAATTATCTAGTCCCTCACTCACTTTCTGACTAAAACAAATGGAACTTTTAAAACTTCCTTTTAAGCAGATCTTTTCCAGAGTTCAGTCATTTTCATGGTTCTCCCAGGAGTCCTTTCTCATCTTTCAGACATATGTAGGTTGCTATTAGAATTGTTATTTTTGGAAGCATGGAGTAATCTGGTATCATTTTAGCACAGGATGACCTCCACAGTCTTTGGCAGGTCTAACACAGAAGCCTCATGCAGCTCACCAGACAAATTATCAGGCCTTAATGTTCTCAGGCCTAAGGGAATGGTCTGCAAGGAGCTCTGGTGCCCACTCCTCCAGCTAATCCGGACTCACACAGGTGAAGAGCTGCAGTGGTCCTGTGGTGGAGCTGAAATGCTGCATTACTCTTGGAGGTGATGCTTCCCTTGCTTCACATCTCAGCAGTCATGTCCTCTAACTTCAGAGGAGCTGGGCAGATGGATGAGAACAGGTTCTACACTGCACTCAGCTGTACGCTTTAGCGGAGAACACCTCGTGTGGCCCTTACAGCCCCATGCCCCGTGGCAGCCAAGCA